AAATACCTACACTACGAATTGAAGCATATGACAATCAGACAAACAGAGACGAGTTACGTACCAACCTTGACCTACTGGACGAGGTAAGAGACCTCGCGCACATCCGGACCGCAGCCTACCAGCAAAGAGTAGCTCGGTACTACAATGCTAGAGTAAAGAAGCGGAACTTCCGCGTCGGTGACCTAGTCCTTCGTAAGGTCATGGCACCTGAACCTGGCGTGGGCAAACTTGGACCGAATTGGGAAGGGCCCTACCGAGTAAAGAGAGCGCTCGGAGGGGCATATGAGCTCGAAACTTTAGAGGGCAAACTAGTACCCCGAGCTTGGAATGTCGTTAACTTGAGATGATACTACCTATAGATCACCAAGCGAAGTGGACTAAGTTACTACCAGGGCCAAAGGGCTAGGATGCCGAACTAACAAGGACCTCAGCATGGGCAAGCAAAGGCAAAAAATGCAAACTAAAAGCTCAGGCAAAGTGCCAACAATGAACTAATAGGGGCATCGACATATGGTCAGTTCGGCAATACAGTCAATTCGGAGGAAAGAGCGACCAACACTTAATTAAAAGAAAATCATTCCATTGCAAAATACTTTGTGTACATTTCAAAAAAAAAAAAAAAACACAAGCGAACTCATAGGCCCGGAGGTACTTCTTCACCATTAGAAGGCACTTCAACGATACCCAAAGGTCCTGCCTCGTCCTCAGAATCCGGCTCACCATCAGCAGCGTCGGCCATCTCTTGAGTAATGCGCAAAGTGGTTATGGCACTAATATCGAGCTCGGGGTACGTATTCCAGATCATCCACCGGCTTAGTTTAAAGCCCCTTCTGTACGAGCCCACCATCAGGTCATCAAAGCGTGACGAGGCGATGTATTCATCGATGGCCTTCTTCTTGGCATCCTCAATGCCTTGAGAAAAGATTTGCGTCCTCTCCCTAATATCCTCTTGAAGGTATTCAACCTGATGCTGCAAATCCAGCCTCAGGTCCGCCATGTGCTTCACCACAACCCCCATGGCCTCGGCATCTCTCTGAGACCTCACCTGCCTGGCCTGTGCAGCGCGAGAAGTCGCCTCGGTAGCGCGAGAAGCCGCCTCAGCAGCTCGAGAAGCCACCTCGGCAGCATGGAAGGCCTCTTCAGCAGCTCGCGCCTGCCTCGAGCTCCTTTCCACTTGGGCTGCCAAAGCATGGATAGAAGAATTCACCTACCAAAAGGAAAGAACGATAACAAGAAAGATAAAAGCAAAGAGCCCGACAAGAAATCGGTGACTTACCACCATGGCATGAGTGGCAGCACGACAAGCTACCTGGTTCAAAGGAAGCTCGGTCCATGCCGTGACCTCCTCAGGATAAATGGCCTCCCTACTCTTCTAAAGAGCGTGGTTTGATGACAACACGCTCCTGAACTCGCCTTGGGCTCCCGAGCCTGAGGGCCCAGCTCGCATATAAGCAGACTCGGAGTAAGTGGGAGCCTCCGTGTAGATAGCCTCGGCATAAGGGGCCCCTGCCGCTTCATGTACTGGAGGGGCCATCTCGGGTTCCCTGGGCGGATCCACTGACGGGTAGTCTGGTACCTTGGGCTCCGCATCTCGGGGCAGCTCGGCACGAGTTCATTTGGCGATTCGCTTCCTCCTCTTCATGACGTGGAACAGGTTCCCACCACGAGTCTTCTCTGAGTCCATCACACCTGCAAGAAGAGCTCGGCATCAGGAAAACGAAAGAACAGAGCAAAACAAAAGACAAACCTCTGAGTAAGGAACCTACCCGAACTCAGACCGGCCTCAATGAGCTTGGCCTCCGTCAGATAATGGTGGCATTTTAGCCCAAGCCGTGCCCATTGCCGGAGGCCCTTCGTTGTCTCCTTATCAAGCGCAACACCGGCGTCAGGGGCAGCCATCCCCCACCCGATTTGGAACGGCCACCCCAATGCACTTCGCACCCCGAAGTAGTCTCGTTTCCACGCCGGGACCTTGTTGGGAAGTTCGTGTAATAGCTTAAAACTTGGGCAAGGAGACAGGTAATACGCCCACCTACGCCCGGGAAGGGGACCTGCTTGCTTCTTAAGCATTAAAATGGAAGAGAAAATCTTCAGGTCTAAAGGCAAGACCTGTTTGCAAAATAAGGAGATTGTCCCCACCAAGTTACGAATAGAGTTCGGGTGAAGCTGGCCGACGGTAACGCCGAAGTGGTTCATAACCTCGACGATGAGGGGATGGAAAGGCAGGCGCAACCCCGCAGCGATCTGCTCCTGGAATATCACGATCTCATCAGGACCGTGTTCCCAAGGGAAACTGCCCGAGGGTATGAAGTAGGTGTACTCCCTAGGCAAGTTGAACTGGGTAATAAGGGAGTGAAGCCCCTCAGGCATCATGGTCGAGGGCCCAAACTTGTCTAACGTTCGACCCCGACGAGAGGAGGACGCCAAACTACTCGAGGCGACTTGGCCTACGGGTTCGAACTCTTCCTCGAGTTCTACCTCAGGTTCACTAGGACTGCCGGGGGATGCAACTCGGTTCGTAGAACCTGCATCTGACCCCCTTGAAGAACTGTTTGAGCTATCCAAGCTAGACATCAGAAGGAGAAGGATTCTAGGAAAGTACTCACCCGGAAAAAAGCAAGCGGACTACGAGAACGTGAACGCGAGCTAAAGGCTTGAACGCGAGCTCAAGAAGCAAAACGTAGGATAATGACAGCGACTAAGGTCCCCCACTATTTATGCCCACAATAACCGAGAATCAACGGTTCTAATCAAAGCAAATCCAACGGCCCGAAGTCGCGCTGATCGCATGTCTCCTGAGACCGAGACGTGATTGGCCGCACATCTCTTGAAACTGAAAAGAGCGCCAGCGCACGTCTCCTAGCATTAAAGGTGGCAGCGGCGCATTTTTTAAATTTGAAAACACGCCCGCTGTCACATCTCCCAACGGCGCGCTTTTTGAATTTTGAAATAAGCACGTGCTGTCACATCTGTCAGCATTTATAGACAGATTGGCGCGTTTCCCGTCTTTTTGGTGCTCGAGAAACCCGGAAAGATCCTGACGAACGCGCACTTCGCGCTATCAGTCAAAACCAGTTCGAAAGTACGAGACAAATCCACCCGCCACCTCGCGAACTCCCCGCACCAGGGAAAGTCCCTTAGCGTGAGGAGTGGGGGGCAATTGATGAAGGAAGATTTGGTCTGACCTCGTAACCACTCAACACGTGGCAAAGGCAACAGCTCGGCACAACAACACGCCCAAGGCGCGAGCTCCGAAAGGAAGAACCAGCGGTCCGAACTCCCTACAAGGAGCCCGAACTCCTCATAAGGAGCCCGAGCTCTCCCTTAGGCCCCGAGCCTTACGAACACAAAGGGCAACAACCCAAACTGGCCTGCCCCATGATGGCTCGGGCCACACCTCTATTCGAACTCAAGACTTCACCTCGCACACCACTCCAGCACTTCGCCTCTAGGACGTCGAACTGAACAACCGTACCTGACACCGAAGGAATCCGTATCTAGGGGCGGCGCATCTGACTGACTTGGGATCTGACGCTTGATAGTCGCACTTCAACGGCCACCTACCACCGCCATCTCCGATTACAGAGACGACTCCGACAAAGAGAGCAGTGGCGGTTCTGCCCCAACAGAGGTGATGACACCGGAACTGGCAAGAGCACAGAGGTAATCATTCCCGACCTGATAGAAGCTTAGGAGTAAGTGCGCGGAGTGGTTATAAAAGGCTCTTTACCCACCAAGAACAAGGTATGTGAACTTTAATACTAACTTAAGCAAGGTATGTGAACTTTGCACCATCTGGTTTTATCTTGACTTTGAGAGAATACTAAGTTGAGCTTCGGAACAATCTCACCAGATTCCTCCTCGGACAGCGCACCATCAGGATTGTTTTCTAAGAAAACATCGAATTTGATGTTACTGCAATCAAACATCGAATTTGTTTTCTAACTTAAGCAAGGTATGAATAAAAAAAATGCAAATTCTGGCTTGATTTTGTTTTGGGTAATTCTAATTCTGGCTTAATATTGTTTGGCTTAATTTTGTTTTAGGCTTTACTTGATCTCTTATTTTAGGCGTTTGTACTGCAATCAAACAAAACAACAAACAAAAATAAATCAAAATTTGTTTAAATGCAGAAGACTAGTTATCCTTTTAGATAAAATACCAACTAATAAACAGCTCCATGGATCCAAATACTGTGAACAGTAAGAGAAAAACATAGTGCACATACAATCAACTGGGTTTATCACTGCCACTCCTCCTAACGCTTGTAAAATTTCAGTGCGGCAGAGGTGACGCCGACCCCTCATGGATTCCGACTTCAGTGCCAAGTTGAAGAGAAAATCTAAAACTGAGATGTACACCACAACTGTGGAAATGGATCCAGGGAGCTACAATCCTTCCACCTAGACTAATTATATACACTTTGTGGCCAAAACATTCCACCAAACTGTAGATGTAAATATACGTCCTAATTGTTCACTTAGTGTGGATCATATTTTGCTTGAAAGTAGGCACCCGGCTTCTCTAATCTCTATCGGGGGATTTAGAAGATATGATGGGAAAAATCCAGTCACTAAGGAAACTGTAGATATTCAATGTAGATCATATTTTTAAGACGGTGGTTGATAAATTAAACACAACTCCCAGGCCGGGGATTGTTACCGTATGTTATGAGTAACCACCACACATTTAGATATTGTTTCTCCGAAGATCAAAAAATTTGAAACCGTTGGTTGTTTGCAAGAAATCAAACAGAGAGAGAGAGAGATGAAATCATAAAAACTGCACCCACGTTTTATTATAAAAACCCCAGAGGCCAGAGCAAAACACACGCTACCTCTATTTTCTCGCCTACTACTAAACAAAACAAGCAAATTAACCAAATCCACACACGATTGTGTGTGTAAGAGCCTTTCCGTCGAAGGGAGAGAGCAGCTAGTAGGGTACGTGCATTTTATTGTTATTCCCTCGTAGTCGTAGAGGCCACTGCCCCTTCTTCTCTAGTCGCTTCTCTCGCTGAAGTGACAGGTCTGTGACAAGTCACACATGGAAGGAAGCTGCTCCGCCTTCTTCATTAATCTCTCCATCTCCTCTCCCTGTAATTGACTTTGCTGCTGCTGCTGCTGAACCGTCCACTGGATCGCCTCACAGGTGCAATCGTCCTTCACATTCTGCAGCTCTTCACAGCATCCCTGTGTATCATCCTTCTGACCGCCCCTCATGAGGAGCCCCATCTGCCATGACCTCATCAATTGCCGACACTCGTTCAACTGGTGCTTCTGTATCTCTTTCCGGCACTCATCAGACTGGCTTTGCCTTTGGCTTTGGCTTTGGCTTTTGTCACCATCTTGTATGACAGTAGTGGTGATGGTGGTCCGGTAGATGGTGGCCTCAGCCATGGCCACCAACCCCACTAGGAAGATTGCCATGATAACGAGTCTCGCCATTCCCGTTTCTGATCGATGCTGTTTCGAAGGAATGGGTATTGAGACTTGGAATGAGAAGTAGCTGATAGTGGAGAGGTGGATCTCATTGCGAGTATTTGTAAGAGGGTATGGTAGCTTGCATGTTTGAAATGTGGAAGAAGGGTCATCGACACGTTGATTGGTTGAGGTTCAATGGACGTACCTGTAATGCAACGGTGTCGAGTTTTTCAATTTTCTACTTCTCCATGCCCCGCCCCAGAATTGTGTTAAGGAATCTATCGACGTGTTTGTTGCCCAGACTTCAACCACTGAATTTTTTCGACACGGATACTAGTACTACAATATAATTTTGTCTTGTTTCTTGTTTGGCTCTTTCCACTTCGATTACTAATTGGGGTCCAATTTTGGGCGGGTTTAGTTGGATTCATGTCAAGATAGGTTTAACCTAACATTGAAACCTTGGGATTGGGTTGATCAACAGTTTACCATTCCAAGTCTAATCAATATGTACAAACGATATTGACAAAAATACATATATAAACATACAATATATATCTACATAGGCATACAATATACATATCTACATATATAGGCATCTATTTTATGTACAGTGGAGTCGAGTAGGGTTGAGTAGGGTTTAGGCTACACAAGGCCTCAACCCATGTTTTGATTAGGCCCACTCCTGAGTTCGAAAGTTGCAGCCCTACCTCGTAGAAAATTGATATGCGATAGTGGTTTTACAATCCCAATCCCAACCCCAACCACCAAGTTATATCATTGGAGAATAGCTATAGCTCTTACCTAAAGGAGAGATATCCTTTATCCTCCCTGTATTACAACTCAGAGGTGTTTTAGACTATGAATGTTTTTGTTTTTATTTATTTTTGAAATCGTAATATCAACAAATAAGAAAAATACTTTTATCAATTCTATTTTTGTTTTAGAAAGGTAATATATTGGTTTTGTTTTTTATGAAAGGTGATTTGGCCCTATCTTGTAATAGGGGGACACGTGGACACTGTTTGACTAACAGATGACAGTTCAGCATGATCAGCCCGCAACATAACAGTCTTGGGCTAAAATGACCTCGAGATAGGGTCACCCCGAAATGAGATTGCTTCCGTACCAGATCGCAACAATAACACTTTAATGCCAAGGCACTTCGACACTCAGTCTAGTTCGGGACTTAAAGGCGTCAGCTCGGGGATACCGACGTGCCACTATGAGGATCCCGAAAATCCTTTTGATGGTTCTCGAACTTCACGGGATCACATCGCGTAACAGCTAGCCTTATCTCTCCCGACCGATGCGGACTCGATAAACCCTATCCGTTAGCAACATTATCTCCCATTATCGCAGAAACGGATCTCATCGTGACGAGGATTCCGGAACTACTCCGCGAAACCCGCGAGGACTCCATTATATAAAGGCTCCACCCCCCAGGAGTGCAAGGTATGCGTGATTTCCTGCTCTCAAGCTCTCTACTTTCAAACAATTTTAGCTCGCTACTAGTCTACTGACTTAAGCATCAGAGCGACCTCATTGGGTTAACATCTCGGAGTTCTTTGATATCCTTGCAGGTTCAGTCCACCGTCCGTTTAGAAGCCATATCACCTCCAGCTGGAAACAGCCAGATCGTGCTAAATCAGTTTTAAACATGGTTCAAAGTATCATACATCCCTGTGTATTGATAGAGGCGTATCAGTATTTAGATACACAATTTTATGTATTTATTTTAGTTCTTTTTCAAAATTTATTTTTGAAAAGTAATTAGGCATATTTTTTATTAAAAAGAGATGGGTCCCGAAACACCTGTAAATAGGTGTATCAGAACACAAAAGATACAACACTTATTTATCAAAATTTTAAACCTTGATTTTGAAAAAAAATATATATGCTTTTTAAACCATCATAACAGTGGTTCTTAAAACAAAAAAAACACAAATGCAGAAATTATAATGATTTATGGAAATTGATATTAAATAATCAGATAAAAACATATTTCCAAAACTAGAAACTCACATGTTTTTTGTTTCAGTTTCTAAAACAAATTTGTGAACGCCCCCCTCCCCTAAAATTTAAGCATTTTTCTTTGGCCATCAAGCATTTGTAGTAGCTGCATGAAGTAAGAAGCTTTTTCCGTATATAGTGTGATTCGTTGATAAGTGGAAAATCAAGCAAAAGTTGTGGGTAAGTCATCATGACATTTTATGAACCCATATAATTAGAATATGGAAGAGGTTACCTTTCCTTTTCTTTCAAACCAAACACAGTTTGAGGTTGGAATGTCTTTTTTTTTTCTTTTTGTAAGTTATATGACCAAGAATAAGCAATTCCAAATTAAATGTAATATGGCTTCTAATTTTATAAAACTGAATGAAATATATGGTTCTCGATCACATGAGTATATATTAACCAAGGTACAATGTTTTAGTCATTTGGTTTAAATCAACTTTCTTGATTTAGTGAGTATTCCCAACAGTTAAATTGTCTTAACTCTAAGATGATTTTAACCTAATTAATGCCATGAATTAAATGGTAAATCCTGATCTTATGACCTACTCCCCCTACAAATGTTAATTTCGTATATTATCTTATCACCATAAACAATAAAAAAGATTGTATCTAATTAAAATCGGACCAGACTTTGGTTAGAGCATTTGGTGATGTGCATTCGATTGACCTCCTTCCTATCATGGAGCCTTTGTGTTAGAGAATGCCATTAATACCCGCGCGCAGCTACCTCTAATAACTTATTTTATTCTAACCTTATGGTATCCACACGTCCTAACAAATTATATTACAGATAGAACTGAAAGCCACAAGAACACCCTACTTCCTTTATTAATTATTTGATTCTCTCTCATTTTTTTTTTTAATTTTGTTTTTGCTGCGTATCACTCAAACAATATTAAATATTATCGACTGTTCTTCAAATATGAAAAAACAGAAAATGAAAAGAATAGAAAAAGAGATGAGAAATGAAAAGGAAACAGCTAGCACTGAGACTTCCAATGGGCAACTAATTAAACAAGCCCCAAATTAAGGTATGATTTCGCTCTCCCACTCTCTTAATTAGTTTTATACAAGGTTCATTGCTTTAGAAATTAATAAAATAAAATGGAGTTATTAGTAATAAAATTTGTCTTTGGCTTCTAACCTCTCAGCATGTTTGTTTTGGCTGGCTTCATAAAACAGTATACACAATTTGAAAATATATACAATTGCATTTGGTGGTGATGGAGGGTGATTTGCCGACCAGATTGCGCATCATCAGGTGGTATAAGATTTGTAGTATGTACAATTAATTAATTAGTGGAGTATAACATTATCTTACGTGCTTTGACCTAATTACTTACATATATTTGAAAGAGTACAAATGCAAATACACACGAAATAGTTCAAAATGTAAGATTTTGCATCGTATATACTTCTATTTGTATTCCTTCCAAAACTGATCCGATGGAATTTTGACATAGTATAACAGCTGAGGATGGCCAATAAGTGGCACCACATGCACTCTTGGTATTTTAGGGTTCGACTATGATACCAAAAGGATATGATATCTGAAAATTTTCCAACCAGTCAACTGGAATCATAAATGCAATAACTTATTAAAATTCATGGGTGGGTTTTGATTGATCAAAACTCTTTTCATATCATATCTTTTCGGCATCATCTTTTGACAAAATTACTCCTTTAAAATTGCGTGTGTCACGTTCTGCTTTCAAAACAGGGCTTGTTTATTACTCCTTTTAAAACAGGGCTTGTTTATTATTGGTCAATAAACATTTCTGTTTATTATTGGTCAAAACAGGGCTTGTTTTGGTTGAAAATTGAATACAGAAGGTATCTCTAGCGAGGTCAACCTGTACGAACGTCAGCTCTTTTCTTTTGTTTTTTCCTTCTGATTATCTTCTACGGTGGTTGAGACTTGAGAGCCTCATTTTAGATTCATTTTCATTCTCTACCAAGAGAAAGAAAGGAAAAAAAAAAGTCATTCTCATAAGCCATTTCCTCTCTCATTCTAATATAATATTAGATAACCCAGAACTCCATGTATTCCCATAGTCGTAAGACCTCGATTGCACCATTTTATTGAATAGGGAATACGGGTTCCCTTGTCTGGTCTGGTTTTCTCGGAACCCAACTTGATTAATTAATCAAGGCTGGTTAGGTGGGATAGCATTAATCTGCATTAATTGGAATATTCTGGCCGGGATAGGGAGCCTATGACTAATTCATTTGGTCCAATTAATTTACTGCAAACTACTCAACTAGTTTTCATTGTGGGACTTGATGTACTGGCTAAACTGAATTCGTCCATCTTCATTCTCTTTCTGGTTGCACATTTAGCCAGCCAAGTTCTAATAATTGTAAATCATATCAACACTTGTTTCATTATCTTCATACTCGAGTCAATAGGGGTTATGTAATGTAGGTATCTAACATAGCTTACACAAAGCTCAAGGAATGCAATGACACAAATAATACCACATCCATTAAACAATTCACATGACAGCCCATCAATGACAAGTTGATCATAGGCATAGCTGGCTTGGCTGACCGGCTGAGGTATATAAGAAGACTTGTTCTAGCTCATCAAGATTCATTCATCAGTGCCTTGGAATTGAGAAGCATAGTCATTGTTGTTTTCCTGTCCACATGGCTGCTCTAAAGCTTTTCTCATCAGTTGTCTTCTTCATTCAATTGGCAATTGTGGTCTTCCACTTAGACCCCACCAGCGCGCAGGGCCTGCGAGTGGGATTCTACAAGAATACATGCCCAGCTGTGGAAGATATAGTGAGAAAGACGACTGCTCATTACGTCTTACCTGTGCCTTCCCTTGCCGCTCCTTTGTTAAGAATGCATTTTCACGATTGTTTCGTCAGGGTACGCTACACACACTACTATCTTGGATTTCATCATTTTCACATTTATTAATAATTATTATGGGTATAAATATAGCTACGTACATGATACATTTCAAGAAGATATATTGTTTGTTTACAAAGTTGTTATAAGCATTTGCAGGGTTGCGATGGTTCGGTGCTCTTGAATTCTACAGCCAACAATCAAGCTGAGAAATCGGCAATCCCAAACCAAAGCCTCAATGGATTTGGGATCATTGACGCGGTTAAATCTGCAGTGGAGAAAGCGTGTCCTGGAGTTGTCTCTTGTGCAGACATCCTCGCCTTGGTTGCTAGGGATGCTGTCTCCCTGGTAATATTATATATAATTGAAAATACATTAGTTGTTGTTTATTGTCTCTGTTTTTTTTTTTTTTTGCTGTAATGGGGATACAGAGTAGTAACTCATCATGTATCCTCCTTGGAAACAGAGGATTCATATATATATGTGAGACGAAACGACAAATCATTTATATTTCTAATAAAGCAAAAACTTAATTGTTTATTTGTAGGTCAAGGGACCCTACTGGGAAGTTCCAACGGGGAGAAGAGATGGAAGAGTGTCTTTGGCATCAGAAGCATTGACAAATCTACCACCTCCTTTCGCAACCATTAGCGACCTCCAGACAAGGTTCATGGCAAAGGGTCTAAGTGTTAAAGACCTCGTCGTCCTTTCAGGTAAACTTCTCCTTCACCATGATTGTGTTTAATTTTTCTACTACATTAATTGATCCAAGTACACCAAGTTCGAACCTCTAACCATCACTCTGTTTCTATCATCTTGATGATGATCTGTATGTAGGTGCTCACACAATTGGGCAGTCTCACTGCCCCTCCTTCACCAACCGGTTATACAACTTCACGGGCAGGGCTGACAGTGACCCATCCTTGGATTCCATCTACATTCAGAGGTTGAAGAGCAAATGTAAGGCAGGAGATGTTGTGACAAGTGTAGAGATGGATCCAGGCAGCTACAAAACATTCGACACAGGCTACTACAAGAATGTGGCTAAAAGAAGGGGACTCTTCCAATCCGATGCGGCTCTGCTGAATGATGCTGACACCAAAGCTTACGTGATTCAGCAGTCTACTAGCAGTAGTGGATCCAGTTTCTTTAAAGATTTTGGGGTATCCATGGTGAACATGGGTAACATTGGAGTCCTCACTGCCTCCGCTGGTGAAATCAGGAAGCAGTGTGCCTTCGTTAACTAAGTAACTAGGCAACTAGGCAACTAGGCAAGGGCAATGACAATGCATACAGATCGTACGTCTACTCTAAAGTAAATGTTGTTATAGGATCGGAATTCAAGTTATTCTTGTGTTTGATTTTTCCCCCAAAGGCTGGCCTGAAGGTGGAAACCATTATACAACAACAATCTATATAGTATTGCGAATATAAATGTATAGGATTCAAAACCCCTTCTACAGTTCTACCCCATCTAGTTGATCAAGATCAACAGGAGGCATTGCTAGTTGATGGCTGTGTTAAGGGAATCTTAATTAACCGATAATATTCTTATTTTAAAATTCTTGGTAGAACTTCTAGATCCTCCACATGAAACAATGCATGCACAAAAGTGAGATTGAATGGCTGATATTGGGGCGTTATTATTTGAGATGGGAAATCCACGCTATAAAAAAGAGAAATTGGGTGGTGGTTAGGGGTGTCAATTGGACTGGATCGGATTTGGTCCAATCCGATCCTGTCCAATGTGAGTTCATTATAAATGGACCAAGTCCAATCCAGTCCGATGAATATTTTTTACCATTTTGAACCGGTCCAATTTAATGTTTGGACAATCTAATCTGTTTAAATTCGTTTTGATTTAGATTGGTTTCAATTCAAACTTGGTCCATTGACACCTATATTCTTATCTTATATCAATGGACCAAATATTGGCTTAATCCAATATAAATTTATTACGGACAGATCAGATCCAATCCAATCTAATAAATATTTTGGACCGAATTGGTCCAATCCAATATATCTTGTTGATCCATCCAATCCATCCAAATTGATTTTGGATCGGACGGGATCCAATCTAAAACTGGTCCATTAACACCCTTAGTGGTGGTTGTGAGTCACATGACCGACGTGTAGCAAAATGATTTGTCCCACAGCCACTAAAACAACTATAAAATCCAGCACTAAGGCTGCATTTGACATTAAGGATTTATCCCGTTTTTGCAGTTAAAAATTCAGCTAATCTTTTATTCTTACCCTCTAGTGGAGCCAACAGGTGCAAATAATTGAACTTTGCACTTCATCTTCTCTAGCTCTTGGCAGCACTCTAGAGCAGTGGCGGAGTTAGGAATTTTCTTTTTCGGGGTCAATTTAAACAAGAAAAATGAGATAGGGAATAGAAGAAGTAGGGTTTGGAAAAAAATGGATTGAGAAGGTTTGGGTCTATTACATATTTTTTAATTTTAGGAGTTGGAGGAGAAATTAGAGAGTGATCTATTACATATTAGTTCAATTTTTTTTGGGGGGGGGGGGGGCGGCCAAAATCCCATTTCATTATGTTTTGACTCAGCCTCCTCTTAGTAACCTCTTAGTAACCATGTATAACAAGTTTACCAAAAAAAAGTTTGAGATTTGTACCCTCATCTCTGCTGATGAAAGAGTGGATTATGATTGGTATGGGATCGGGTTGGGTTTTGATGGAAGTGGTTTTAGTTTCTGGTTTGCTTCTCTTATCTCATTTAGCTCTATAATTTCTTTAATAATACTTTTATTATTACTATAAAATCATGAAAGTTTGTACTGAAACTTAATTAATTATAATTGGGGTAATGAGGATTGAACACTAAATCATTTAGTCAAAATAGTTCTGATACCGTCTTAAAGAATCATTTAACCTAAAAGCTTAAGTCGTTAGGTGAGATCCTTGAATAAATTGATATTCTCTAACAGGTACAATTTATTACTGTTAACTTAAGAGGTCATCACACCCCTTCTTCTAGTTCCTGCTTTCACTGAAAATAAACGGCAGGTCTGTGACAAGCCGTACATGGAGATGGAGGGAAGTTGCTCCGCCTTCTTCATCATTTTCTTCATCTCCTCTCCTGGAATCTACCTTGCTGCTGTTGAACCGTCCACTGGATCGCCTCACACGTGCACTCGTCCCTCACCCGTAAAATATAAGAAAATGGGTATACAAATGGAGCCAGCTGCAATGAGTTCTCCGATGACCAGTGACTAATCATATGACGGAATTTTTTTTCTGAAACTGACCATGACGTTAGGAATTGGAAAAATGTTTCTATCAAGTCTGAGACTGATTATTTTATATACTATCAAGTTTAGATGCAAAGAATAGGAACGTTTCTAGATGAGTGGATCTTGATTAGAAAAGTAAAAGAGAGCCCAACGGAAGGTGATGAATGGCTTCCTTACGGATGGAAAGAAAGAGATCCCATTCCCATCTTCTGTGTTGTTACTATGTAGATCTCAGCTTATATCTGTATAATGAGAGTGGAAAGAAAAAGATCTCGGCTGGTTTGCAACAATGTTGTCTTCCTGGTTCCACATGTATAACTCTAAGGCAGTGTTTGGTTGCAGTGCAATTTTATTTGCACTTATAAACACTGATTCAGAAGTTAATAGAAATCACACACACTTTGTGAGCGAAGATTGTATTGCTTATATAGGTTTCAAGAGATTGAGTTTGAACTAGATATTTACATCAGATAAGGAACAGCTGTATAATAGTTATTAGTGATAAGGATTCTTAGGATAAGATATGGATGACCTAAGAGTTATCCGAGAACTCTTAGGATTTATCCTTCACATCCCCCCGCAAGGTCAACAGGGTAAAGTTGAGCTTGGAACGCAACTGAGTGAAACGGGAAGAGGACAAGCCTTTGGTGAAGATATTTGCCACTTGATCATGAGAGTTGATACATCGAACATCCAACTGTTGATTGAGGACCATATCGCAAAGAAAGTAGAAGTCCACTTCAATGTGTTTTGTGCAAGCTTTGAACATGGGATTGGCAGCAAGGTATGTGGTGCTAACATTATCGCACCAGACGGTGGGTGTCGATGAGAGAGAGACATCAAGTTCCTTCAGAAGAGAGGTAAGTCATATTAGTTTTGTAACAACATTCACAAGTGCCCGTAGCTTAGATTCGGTGCTGGAGCGAGCCACTGTCGGTTGCTTCTTGGCACTCCAAGATAACAAATTACCACCAAGAAAAACATAAAAACCTCTCGTAGATCTTCTGTCATCTGGACAACCAGCCCAATCAGCATTAGTGAAGGTAGTGAGGGAGGAGAGAGAAGAGTGGTTGATGACAAGGTTTAGTGAGATGGTATGCTTCAAGTATCGTAGGATGCATTTGATAGCCTGCCAATGCATTGAGGTGGGTTGATGGAGGAACTAGCATACCTTGTTGATTGCAAATAAAAGATTCGGTTGTCAATGTCACATACTATAGTGACTCAACAATGCTCTGATACAAGGTATGGTCATCAAGAGGTACACCATCAGATGATGACAAGGAGGCATTTTGGGGAATTGGTGTGGAGATAGGTTTGGAGCCGAGCATTTCCACCTTGTCAAGTAAGTTGAGGATATAGTGCTGCTGAGATAAAAAGAGACGATCACCATTGGCATGAACCTCCAAACCAAGAAAAAAATGAAGAGGACCCAAGTCTTTGATGACAAATGTGGAATGTAGTTGGGCCAACAAATGATCAATGGCTGATTGAGAGTTGGATGTAAGAAGTGTGTCATCCACATAAACCAAGGCAAAAATGGTGACAGAATCCTTATGCAATATAAATAGAGAGCTATCACATGTAGAGGAAGTGAACCCTTCCTGAAGCAAGAAGGAGTATAGACGAGAAAACTAGGCCCGAGGAGCCTGTTTCAGTCTATAGATAGCCTGTGAAGTCAACAAACATGGTGGGGATGATCCAGGTTCACAAAACTCGACGGCTGAGACATGTACACCTTTTCATGAAGTTCGCCATGAAGAAAGGCATTCGAACGTCAAGTTGGTGAATGGGCCAGCCACGAGAGTGAGCAATGGTGAGAACCGTTCTGATGGTTATGGGCTTCGCAACTGGGCTGAAAGTATTGGTGAAGTCAACATCGGGTTGTTGAGTAAACCCCTTAGTGACCAGAGGAGCCTTGTATCGTTCAAGGGAGCTATCAACTTTTAAGGCTACAACTTGGGCTGGGTTGGCCCGAACCCAACTCAAAAAGTTGGGTTGGGTTGGGTCGGGTTGATGTTCGGGTTAGGGTTAGGGTTGAAATTCATGAACCCAACTTTACTTCAGGTTGGGTTAGGGTTGACCCCTTAGCCAACCCAAACCAAGCCGAACCCAACTCTATAGTACATGTCATATATAAATATATGTTATATATAATTGATTTATTTAGATGCATGATATTTGTATAGCCCCCACCACATAGTATTATGTATTTCTTTTAAGATAATCACTTCACTTAATCCTAATTAGAAAAACTAAAACCTTAATAACATTATTTTATGTCCTATTTTTTTAAAATTTTATTCTTCATCTTCCTCTATGTTGTTTGCTGCCCAAGAAAGATCTATCGTAAGCCATAACTCATAATAAACTATAGTCATTTTAACACTTGTTTTTCTGAATTTTGTAACAAAAGAAAAAAAAATGTCAACAAACAAATACTAATGAAACATATGATTAATATATGTAGTGAAAGTTGAGTTAAGATCTAAAATCGAGAAACTCTATGAGGTTTTAATGGATGGTAAGAAGGTTGGGTAGGGTTGGGCCCAACCCGAGCCCAACCCGAGCCCAACCCAACCCAAAAATGACTTCAGGTTGAGTTGGATTGGGTTAGGGTTGAAGGAATTTAGTTAAGGTTAGGGTTAGGGTTGGGTTGGATGGGTTGAAGGTTGGGTTTGGGTTAGGGTTAGGGTTGGGGTTTAGAACTTAGGGTTGGGCTAGGGTTGGCCTCAACCCGACCTAACCCGACCCAACTTTCAGCCCTATCAACTTCCTTTTTAACTTTATAGACCCATTTTCACCCAACAATGTTACCATGAGAGGGTGGAGATACTAATGACCATGTACCATTGTGCAACAAAGCGTTAAATTCTGTGGACATGGCATCACGCCATTCAATAGATTTGTTAGATTCAGAGAAACAATTGGGTTCAGAGAGGGTAGTAGTGTGTTCAGCAAGTAATGCACTAGGTAGGGGATGACGAGTGGAGAGTGCATGCTGGTTGGAGCAAACAGCCATGTGAGAATGCAGTGGAGGCGGAACAGGTGCAGTACGATCTAAAAGTTCCTGAATGGAACACATGCCACGTGGCGGTGGTGGTGAATATTCTACATCAGATGACGATGGAGAGCTAGCATCCGAAGTAGTACCTAAAGGAAGAGGAGAGGTGGGAGAGACATCAGCTGTGGTATC